AGTGAAACCTTTTTCAAGTGGGTCTCTAACTATAGCCAGGTATAAATCAATGGCAAATGCACTATTTAATAAACAGGAAACCACCCATTCTGCATTTACTGACTGCCTCATACCTGTTTCCTCTGCTTCAGAAATTCTTGTAGCTGTGTCCAAGGAAACTAAAAGAAAATATTACCCTGTGTGTATAGTGTCATAACTAATCAATTTTACCCTGAAGAGTTACTATGCTGGCTGACCTATTTTTTTTCCTTTTCTCCTCATATGTAGAAAATACTTATATTTTATTTATTTATTTTTTATGGAATTATGTTTGAAAACCCCAGTGAATCACTGTCATTGTTCAAGTTCCAAAAGTGCTTCACCAGATATCAGCTGGTGTTCCAAGCAGTAGCTAGTATTTAGTGCAGAGAAAGAGTAAGACATGAACAAATGAGGGGGGAAAAAACCATGAAGAAAATTCTTAATTACCCATTCAGTTAAGCTATGTATATTTACTTTACTTTATGCTCAGTGGTATAAAACTAATATTGCTTTACAAAATAAATGGATCATTTGCTTTTCTTTAAGCATTTTTTACTTTTTTCCTATGAAGAAAGAAATCCTGTATTATTCAGAGGATTTTTTTTAAATGAGTTTTTAAAATAGCTCACGATGATAACAAAATTAATGTGTTGCCTCCCTTTTTATTTCCAAGTGTTAGTGATTGTTTTCTCTTTCTAACATACAAGTCAATGTCTGTTATCCCTTACTCATGGTGAATACCATCGTGCTCTGCAGGGAGTCCACTGGTTTACATTAAATAGGGGTGAAAGAATCAGGCCCAGCATTCACAATCCCTCATCAGGGGCCTCCTCCAAAACTCATTGAAAGCAATGGGAGTCTAACCATTGATTTCTATGGGATTTAGTTTAGGTCCCAAAAGAAACCACCAACCAAAAAAGGAACAAAGAAAAGCCCTGATCCGACAAGTACTGACTACCATGAGTAGCCCCTTTAAAGTCAGTAGTGTTTGTAGAATTGTGCCCAAAACAATATACAAACAAAAAATGACACAGACATACAAAATCCCTCTGCTCTTTAATTGTTAGTGTGGTGTTGCTTTGTAAGATGTCTTCTGAGACAACATGTACATCAGCTGGTGCATTATGCACCTGTAAAATTAAACATTGAAAAGGGTTATTTTCTAGAGTGGCTGGTTTTATTAATTTATTTAGAAGCAATGTTCACCCAAGGTTCTCTTAGCAAACTAAATGGGATAAACTGATGAAGCAATTTTTCATGTGTGTTGACAAAGCTCCAGTATGAATGTGCGGTTACATTACTTTAACTGGGGTTTGTTCTGAACATCGCCAGTTAAAATGTTTCCCTCTTTTATCATTTAAGGCCTGTATTTCATTTAATATTTCATTATGCAGAGACAGTATGAATTAAATGCTCATTAACTTGTAGAGAAATCCAGTTTTCAATAACTTAACAACCATGTGCTGCAAAACCATATTGGAAAGCCATGAAAAATGAATCTGGTTCATCCTGATGTTTGCTTTATGCTTAAAATACATATGATCCTTTTGCTTGTTTGGGAGGAGGGAGAGAAAGAAGGAAGAACATTATGGTCTGCTGGTTACAGCAAAGGGTTAGCGAGGGTAAGGATCCTGGGCTTAAATCCAGGCTGAGATATGCAAGTTCACAACCTCTTTATGACTCAACAACCCAGTTGTAAATCTGGGTTAAAGGAGGATCGTGCTGAAAAGCACATACTGTGCAGGAGTTGAAGGTGCAACACTTCCTTGCGATGCTGCCTCAGCTAGTGCCCTGCACGGCAGCTGCTATGACTCACTGAATTCAGTATTGCCCCCAGTCTGCCCTATGGCATATTACAGGCATGCTTCTCAGTCAATCATTTCAGTGGACCACACTGTCCACAATCGCTTAGTGGCTAAAAATGTTCTCTAGTAAATCACAGCTGTGGTAGCCGAACAGTCCAGGACTTAAGGTAATCTAATACACTGTAGTACACTTCTACCCCGATATAACGCTGTCCTTAGGAGCCAAAAAATCTTACTGTTTTATAGGTGAAACTGCATTGTATTGAACTTGCTTTGATCCACCGGAGTGCGCAGCCCTGCACCCCAGGAGCACTGCTTTACTGCGTTATATCCGAATTTGTGTTATATCCGTCTGCGTTATATCGGGGTAGAGATGTATAATTTGTGCAGACAGCAGGCAAACAGCAATTCCTGCCAACAAGGTTTTACTGTTATACACTGCTAGCAATCTGAATCCACTGATATGAAGTACAAACCCTTTTTCACCAAACTAGAATCCCTTTGCCTTGTTTCAGTGCCTACCACATGAATTTCTCCTAGACCACTCACGTGCCTTTCAGCAAGACTTTAGAAAATTCTCCAATCTTTTATGATTCCCTCTAGTATCTATTTATTACCTCTCCACGTAAGAAAATTCTCCTTTTCTACCCACCCCAGAGGCCAGACACTTGCAATATTTCAAGGCTTACCCGCCATTTTAGTTCCAACATGGATGACTTCTCCTCCAGCCCAAAATATTTTAAAAACCTATTTTAAGACCTCTCTGCTGCAATGCTGCTCTAATTCATAGAAATCTTTAGCGGAGTGAATGGGAGTTCTGGATACAAAAGGATGGAGAAATCTTGTCCTGCATAGGTGTGTTCTGAACAGTGATCTGTTACCCAGGCAGGAGAAGGATGCCAGGAACTCATGCAGATCTATATATACTGTGAGCCATGGAACAGTTTTGCAAAGACTCCCTGCATCCTAGTTGCTATAGTTTGTGTTAAAAATTCCACAGAAAGATATATTCCACTAATAAATTCTAGGGTATTTTTAAAGTAATGTCTACAGAAACCACTTTAATTCCTATAGCACCCTATTGGCCTCATCATTAATAATTTCTACAGGACTTTTTCATATGGGCAAGTGGTTAGAGGCACAACAACACAGATTTGTGCCAGCCATTCATTTTACTGGTAGAAAATGTTAGCATTAAATTTGTGAACACAAATTGCACACACAAAGTGGAAGGCCCATCTTCAACCTGGCTGACGGTACACCACAATATGTGCATTACTCAGTTCTCAATCTTTTAAAACAAAGAATTAACACTGGCTTTTAAAATGGAAATGCACAAATAATCAGAATACAGTAGAATGAAAACAGCAATTTTGAATTGAGAAGTGAGGGAGATGAAATGTAAGAATTTAGCTGTTTGATGTTACAAAATCCATTGATTATATGTTGTAGGTTTAAGTGAATGTAGAGCTTACAAATTTGATGGCTTCTTTTAAACAGCATTCTGTAGCAACTAATATAGGTCAGGCTTTTTTACAGTTAGGAATGTTGTAACATGTTATTGTTATTATCTGTGGTTCCCTGAGTAGGAAGTGGGATTATGTAAACCTCTTGGTAATTTGTTACTTTGAATATAATTTTGCAAATTTTAGGGGGGGAAGTTTAGGTTGGGAGTGGTAGTGCAAGTCAGATAGGGTATCAGTGAGTGATGGTAGTTGGCAAGTGGCTGGATCCGTTAATTGTTCATCCCCAATGTTGGGAGTTTTTGTTGAGGTTGTCAGCAAAAGTATTGGGGGTAGCCATGTTAGTCTGTATCCACAAAAACAACAAGGAGTCGGTGGCACCTTAAAGACTAACAGATTTATTTGGGCATAAGCTTTCGTGGGTAAAAAACCCACTTCTTCAGATGCATGGAGTGAGAATTACAGATGAGGCATGTTTATACTGACATATGAAGAGAAGGGAGTTAACTCACAAGTGGAGAACCAGTGTTGACAGGGCCAATACAATCAGGGTGGATGTAGTTCACTCCCAACAATCGATGTTGAGGTTGTAGAATTTTTGTAAAGAAAATGTAATTGAGTGTTAGCGAGACTCCAATGCATATAAAAGTGGGAGTTACTGTCTAAAATGTATCCCCCGGAGTCACCAATACATCTGACCATGCACCAACTCTGTAGGTTTGGGTAGTCAGGAGTTTTATTAAACCCTCCAGAGAGTTCCTGCATTTTAGGTGCTCAAAGGCACTCATTCTCCACTTTCCTCAAAATTCTCACAGTGCCTAAGAGCGCAGTCTTCTGGAGGTCAGTGATTGTGATGTCTTGCACTTCTTGTGTCATGATGACTTCTGAAGTTACCCTCCCACAGCATTCTCTTCTTTGGCAGTAACTGCAGAACTGTTGAATTCTTTTGGTGCCTTGAGTCAGCTCAGTAAAAACTGTGGCTTCAGAAACAAGCTGGCATGGGGAAGCAGAGCAGGCAGATGGCTGATCACTAGGGAAAGTCTTTCACTTTTTATCATGCTCTTGTATCGTTTTCTTACTTATTGTTAATGACTCCTGACAATCAAGGGCCTGATCATGCAGAGTGACTTTATTCCTACTGAAGTCACTGGGAGTTGAAGCCGCTCAGACTTCCTAGAAGTGGAAATGGACAGTTAGAAGTTAATGGTATAGCATATTAAAATAATGTGTGAGCCCTCTCCACACTCTAGAGCAGCAGTGCTCAAACTTCATTGCACTGAGACCCCCTTCTGACAACAAAAATTTTATTAAGATGATGTTAAAGAAAAAAATAGTGAACAGAGTTTGAGCATAGAAGTTTCTGGTTATCAGGGAATAACATACAGATTATCGAGGGTGCAAAGTTTGGTTTAAGATAAGGTGGCATGAGGAATACATAATCTGCAATATCCCTGATTGGGGGTAAAAGGTTGATGGTTCAAAGTACAGACATTGAGATATGAGGGTATGAAGTTCATAAAGTGGCTATGTTCGGGTGTGGATAATAATGAGTGGATATGATGATGAGGATGGATTGACCCTCATTTGGTGAGATTTAATGTTCAGGGAGTTTATGGTTCCAGTTCATATGATCCAACGGAGAAGGTCACTTGGTCTCTTTCTCATAGTGGGAGAACGATGTCACTCTGGCTCACGCCTCCTGGTACTGTCGGTGGCTGGTGATGTGCTCGATGTAGATGTCGCTGGACCATCGGATGGCGTCTGAGACCATGAGGCGCCGCATGAGACGTTACTACACGACCCCAGGAAGGGGGACTGAAGCCTGAGCCTGCCTGAGCACCACCGCTGCGGGTGGGGGAGCCAAAGCAGAAGCCCAGGGGCTTCAGTCTCAGGCAGGGAGCCTATAAACTGAGTTCTGCCACCCAGCGCTGACCTGGGCCCCAGCAAATCTAAGCCAGCCTGGCGACCCCATTAAAATGGGGTCACGACCCACTTTGGGGTCCTGACCCACAGTTTGAGAACTGCTGCTTTAGAGGGAAGGGAGCTCAGTACTGCCAGGGGAAATGTATGCCTAGAGAGAGTCCAGAGCTTTCTACCCAGAAACCATCCAAGTGGTGATGCCAGTCAGATGGGGTGTCAGTGAGTGATGGGAATTGGTGTGAGAGTGGAATTTAACAGAGAGACAGAGGGAGGGGAAAGGGACTCTGCTCACGGGTCCTATAGACCATTCACCCCCTCCACTGAAGACCTTGTGATAGGATCATGCTTTGCAGTGAGACACAGCACTGAGGTAGTTCTTTGCTGAAGTCATGGAGGCAGCAACAGAGCTGCATGAATTCTGCTGAGGCCCTCCCTACCCAGCATCAAATCAAGCTGAAGTCTCAACAGCAGGGTGAGGTGGTGGAACCACAGGACTGGATCGGCCATCACTTTGCCTAGTGGCTGCTGACAGGACCACCCAAGTGCACTCTGGAACTACACTAACCACTGACACCAACCATGGAGTAGTGTGTAGCTCAGGGGGAAGGTGGAAATTGACATGTTAAAGAGGCATTCGCCTATCAAATGTTCACACTAGCTAGTGGGGAATTGAGGTAAAGGATGACTCCCAAAGTTATCACTGGTGTGAGGGTTTCTCTTATGGTTCATATAAATATATTGCTGATTTACTGTTGCTGTTTTCCCAAGTTAATGCCATGTCCCCTTGTCCCTTAATAAAGTTTTCCTTGTTTCACACACAGACTCAGGGACTGTGAGTGGGGAAGTATTGCCTATTAAGGTGCCCAGTTTCCTCAGGTCTCTAGGTAGGGGCTTGAGCCAATGGTATGTTAATTTTAAGAGGAATCCCTAGATATTTGAACCTGGTCCTTGTTGCTGCTGACAACACCTGGAAAGGGGTTACACTGGTATTATAATCCATTGACAAATTAACTAAGGCTGAGTTAACTCTCTGTCTCCCTCACACATGACCCTCTCCCTCCCATTCCCCCCATCCCCCTGCCTCTTTCAGGCTGCAGATCTCTGATCCCACAGAGGAAATTCAGGAGGTTTGGTACTGATGCCATGAAGGTGTCAGCCCCCCATACACTTCCATGGAGGAAGGTGGGATCTGCACATGCAGGAAGGTAGAGGGGCTCTTAACACTCACCAGACCATCTGGCCCACAACTCAAGAGTCTACAGATGATGTAATAGATGGGCTTTTTCCAGAGAAATACTAAGACAAACTCAAGATGTTACTATGGAAAGACAGTTTGATTAGTTCCCTTTTTTACAGAAACTAAAGCAAAGGAGATTGCCAGCTAGATAAGAGTAGAACATGGAAGCCTTACAGAAATCTTTTGCCCATCTAACTCTACCAACTATTAGTGTGTCATAGAATATCATTTAAATCTGAACAGAAAGCCAAGCCAATAAAGCACATCATGCTTCCTAGATCTTCCTTAATTGGATGCCTTGGTTTGCAGTGACTACAGTCCGTCTAGCAGCAATAATCTTGATGCTGTATCCTTCATCGTCCTGTTTCTCTTCTGTTCAAGTCTTGTGCTGTTGAGAAAGTCATGATCATAGTTATCTATAAGCATAAAAAGAACAATGTTGTTCATACTAATGTGTTAAATGGAGTTTCACAATGAAACACTCATTGGAGGGCATCTGCCCTCAGTTACACTCATGATACCCAACGGATATGATGGGGTTTCACAGCTATAACTGAGAGCAAAATTTGCCCCAGTATGTTCACCAAATGTAACTGTCAAATGTGATGAATTAATATAAATAATACACCAAGAGCCTTTATGATTTTCATTGTCAATATGTGTTACTGTATCTACCCATTAACAAGTAAGCCCAATTTCTTCCCTCCCTTACATAGGTGCAATTCCCATGGATGTCAGGGAGGCCACAATGTGGCCCCTTGTAATAAAAAGTAAGCATGGAGCTTCATATCTGTAGAACATCAGGGTAGGGACCACTTATCTTCTTGGCACTAACCATGTTCCTGCTAAGCAGAACTTTTGCTAGCATTCTTCTGACTAAGCAGATGACATTGGCTATCATTAAGCTAACTTGATTCCCTGGGAAACATTCCAATACTATGTTGGTCCTTGCTAAGCACGTTCCATTTACATGGCATGCACTGTATATGCAAAGCTAACAATTTACTGCTGATCAGAGAGAACTCTTTTATGTAAAATATTCCTGGAGAAAGCGTATATCAGCCTATTATTATAAGCACTGTCTCCTTCTGTGTGCAAGCAGGTTTTGTAGTAACTGCGGTACTTCAGGTAGAAAATTTCTCTGCTTCCAAGAATTTATGCCATTCCACACTTCCAGAACAAAATCCCCAAAGTTTCTCTGGCAGGATTAAGCCACAGCTGCTCTACTGCAAACCCATCAAATTAAAACGTGCAATGAGACAGTCTTCGTTTAATTTCCTTTGATCCAATTGCACAAATAACATTAACAATCAGAAATCTAGTGCTCTTTTTTGGAGCATGTAAATTGAGAGAGAGACTGGCCAGGGCAAAGGAAAGAGGCAAGGTGGAAATCCAATGATTCCAGACAATAAGACTTGGTGGAGAAAAGAGAAAGAAAGGGATATGGGGCTTCATGCTGACATCAATGTGGTGTAGCTGAGAAGAGAGTTGAGTTTAGCCAGTCCAAGAAACAAGTTACCATAAGAGAAAAAGCCCAATAAGGCTTAAAACTAAACCAACCATGACCAGCTATTATACAATTCAAATGAAATTCTTCTCAAGGAATCCTGCCTTCCCTCCCTGGAGGTGCTATTCCTGAATCCTGACTAGCCAATGTTACAAATTCTTCAGTTCCTGATGATATACTTTTCTAGTGGGATATATGTGGGCATCCTATCAGTGAATAGTTTACACAGGATGGGATGTAGCTGCAATGCATTGCAGACCTTAGTACGCACTACATTATTTGCAGCACCACTGAACTTCATTCAGACAACACTGGTTTGGGATTAATATTAAACGCAAAGGGAACATAGATGCACACGTCATGAGAACTGTTTCTTGTTCTTGTACAACTAGCCAAATTGGCTACAGGCCATTCAAAATAAAAAGGCCTAATACAAGAAAACCTATTGGGCTTATCTCTTCCTGGATAAATGCTAGACTCACACTGAAGACATTTCTGGTTAATAACAGAAAAATAAATTGTTATTCCTGGTGGAAAACTTGTTTTCTCTTTCAGTGCAAACAACCAGATAGCAACTTAATGGTGAGCTGTCAAAGAAAGGTAATGAGTCTATTACATTCTCAGCTGACATGTGCATATTAGTTTTGTATTAATAGTGACATGGTGTAATAAAGCTAACGCAATTCATGCAAAGAATATATATTGATGTGAACTAATAATAATTTACAATGCCAACCCAGTGTTCTGCAGACTGTGAGTGAAATAGACTCCCTTGTTCATAGAGCCCTTACAAGACACTCTGCTCTACATGCGTGGGTCAAATTTCACCCTGCATACGTAGGGATTATGTCACACCCCAATGAAATGCAGCCACTTCTAGGAAGGAAACATGGCACTGGAGCAGTGACTTTTAGAGGTGCTGAGCACTCAAAGCTCCTGTTGACTTCAAAGCAAACTGTGGGTGCTTGGCACCTTTTCTAAGCATTGATTAACATCTTAATGTTAGATACAGATAGCACAGAAATATAACGTCCCAAGTCACAATATAGCTGTGATATCAGGGCTTAAACTCCTATTTGTGCATCAAATGCCATAGGATCTACAATGAATGCAAATGGATAGGCTTTTCATCCATAATTCTACCCATAAGTACAGCACTCCTTAGCACCGGCAGAAAGGGAAAAACACTATTTACTACAGCATGAGTGCTGCTTACAACTCCCGGCGTTCTCTTTGTGGTCATCCAACCAAATACTGCATAGCTAGACAAACTGAAAAGCTCACAGTGCAGGATGCTCTTGCTATTAATTTTGATCTGCTAGTAAGAAAAAAGATTTTAAAAAAGAAAACATAATGCACTTTTGCAAAATACAGTAGTCAACAGACATCCTCTGAGTCAAACTGCTGCCCTAACTCTTCTTCTCCCATAAGTTGCCCAAGTAAATGGGCTTTTGAAAGGGGAATCTAAGAGGGGCTGGAAGTAAGGAATCCTCCAAGTCTGGGTGCCATGACTGTGCAGGCACTCACAGCCCATGGTTTGAAGCAGAAGGGTTCAATGTGCTCATGAGGGAGTTAGGTCTGTGGAGCCACATATTGACAAATGGACTGGTGACTTTCCAAGCAGCCTTCCATGCTACTATGAAGAGAGCAGGGTGAGGGAGGCCTCAGAACCATGTGACTCTTAACTTTTATTTTTAGAAGTTTTATTTCAAGAATTCTTCTTATAAGTTAAATATAATGGGCCAAGTTTTGTCTTTAGTTACACCCAATGGGAAGGGGAACATGTCCCTGTAACCTTTGGTTCCTTATTCCTGCCAGTCCTTGTGTGCACCAGCTTTTCCTGTGTCCCTGCTCACAGCAGCCAGTGTCTAGATGGCATTTCTTAGAGAACTGCCTCTGCTGGGTGCTCCAGAATAGGCACTGTTTCCCCCCCAACTTCCTCTCCTAAGAGGTCAGAAGATCATCTTCGCTTCAAGGATGTACCTCCATGACTTTATCTCAACACAGTCAAAAGGTCTGGTTAAAAAAAACACAAGATTTATTATGAATATATAAAGAAAACCCACCTAAACCAAAATACACATAGTACAGAACATACCCAGTTTCATAGATGGCTTGAGCTAAGCTCTAGGTAGGTATATCTAACATGTTGTTCTCCTTTTCTCCTTGCTGATCTTTTAGCCACTCACCCTGATGGAAGCACATATCTAATGGTTTCAAGTCTGCTCTCTTTCCCTCACACAAGCCTTTCAGGCTCCTCCAACATGCCTGACATTTTATAATACCAG